GCTAACTATGTGCTTCTTTGATTAAATGAGGTATATCTGAGCCTTTTTACTTGTTATGTGCTTTTCTCCAACTTGCTATACATGTTTTTGTATGTCGCCTTAGAATTTTGCCTTTGAAACTACAAATAAGCCTATTATCCCTACCCCTTAGGATTAGTAGTCCTAAATGCCTCCGGGACCGATAGGATTGGGACGGGTAATAGCATGCAATAAGTAAACGAGACCATTCCGCGCTTTAATACCTTAACGGAGTGGGAAAGTGTAGATATGGATATGATGACCATGCGATAACATCTCGTGTAGCCCCTCACTGAGGAGTGATTACCGGATGTTGTGTGAGGTGATCCATATTATTTATAAACCTAGGACCCCCTTTCCTTTGTTTCTTCTCAAATTTCAAACTATTCCTTTAAGAAAAATCAGCTTTCTTTTAGTTCTTTCCAACTTTGTTTATTTGTAACCATTATGTGAAAATCCCCTCTTATTTGAAGTTTTATTTGCCTACGTGTTGTTTGCGCTTAAATTCACAACAATAGTCTGGTCGAGAACCATACTAGTGGATCCTGAGGGGTGCCTAACACCATCCCCTTGGGATAATTTCAAGCCCTTACCCAATCTCTGGTTACTCAAATCAAACCCTTCTTAGTGTCCTAATGCACTTAAATAATTAGGTGGTGACTCTTCAATTCAAACCCAAATTCCCAAAAGGGAATGAGTTGTCCTCCCAAAATATCATAAACCCAATTTCGCGAGAAAAAGGGAGCGCGACAGCATGACGACTCTGCTGGGGATTTCTTTTAGGCATTTACCATTTCAGGCTATTCTTGTGACTTTACGCTTCTTTATATGTCTTTATTTGCTTAATGCCTTTAAGTATTTAATTCTCTCTTCTACTACAAAACTAACTTGTCTTTTTGTTTCTTTCCCTTATTTCTTTTATTGTTTTCCTTTACTGATTTCCTTTATTACTGTTTTAAATTATGAATAATTATTGTAATTATTACTTTTATAATGTGCAAATATGTGACAACTTGTTTTAATTATTGCATAAGCATGTTTTTAACATCATATTCCGCTCGTGCCAAACAAAATACCATAGAAACGCTTATAATGAGTGGTTGCGCTCTTCCAATATTATCACCCCTAAATCCGGCAAAGGCATATTTGTGGTAAAACCAGTCGATCAACGGTGTAGTCGACGGTTCTGCGCCTTTCCCTCTTGAGTTGTCCGCTCAAGCATACCAGTCTAAGACCTCATAGAAACCTTACTCTGTTTAATTGTGCATGCATCATGGTCAAACTTAGCCGAGTCAGTTATGTTGTCCGCATAATGACTCTTTAAGATAGCCTTATCCAAAGTCCACTGGGTTTCCCTAAGACCCAAATGGACACTACCACGTTTTATGCATTTATTTGGGGAACTAAATGCTTTTATGCCAATTATTGATATTAAATAGTCGAGTCTGGTGGGGGTAAGGTCCTAACCCTTTTGTCTTGCATAAATATGAGACACAAAGTTCCCAAATTCGGCATGGTGACCAACATCCACCCAAAACTGCTAAGCTGGTGGGAGGATCTTCATTCTAGTGATCAGACTCTTGTTCGGAAATACCTAGGAAATCTACCTTATCCAACCCAACAACAAGATCATAGAAGCTGCTACTTTGTTCTGGGATGGTGATAGGTCTGTGTTCCGCTTCGGGGACATCGAAATGACACCACTGCTAGAGGAAATAGGAGGAATGGCTGGTATACCATGGGAAACTCCGGGTTTGTTAACGCCGAAAAATCGCAAGTGTAGAGGTTTCCTCAAAATGATGGGTCTAAAGAAGAATCCGGACTTGACATGCTTGAAAGAGTTGTATATTCCATTAGATTATTTGTCTGAGAGTTACGGTCATACCAAATCCTACCGTACTTATCCTGATGAGTTCGCCCTTACATCATTGGGGCATATTCATCGAAGGGTCTTTGTCTTCATGTTCTGCTTCTTGGGGATGATAGTGTTTCCAATGAAGAAAGCAAGTATCCATACCAGGCTAGCTATGGTCACCAAAACTTTAATGAAGGGAATTTGTGGGCAACCATTTAGCATAGTGCCCATGATCATTGCAAAGATATACCGAGCCTTGAAGAAGTGTCAACAAGGAGCCAAACACTTCGAGGGTTGCAATTTGCTACTCCAGCTCTGGCTCATGGAGTATCTCCAAAGTAGTGAATATCGGCAAGAGATTCAGCAAAGGGATTAGGATGATCACATAGCCTTCCATCTCCCAAGATGAATGAACTACATGCACAACATGTTTGCCCAGCCGAAAGACGCCAAGGGGTGGTTAGAGCTGTTTGAAAATCTAACGGAGGACCAAGTACAATGGATGTTCGAGTGGTTCCCTACTCATCGTCCGATCCAGGGATGCACCGTTTCTGATACTGATCAATTTTAGAGGAACCTACCCTTACGTCCCTCTCCGAGTTATGAAACAGGCTGGTAGGAAGCAGGTTATACCAAGGGTCGACAAGATGAGTCACTTTCGGGCTGAATTTCAGGATTATGATAGCCCTTACAAGTGCCAAGTTCAGCATATGTGGCACTGCAAAATCATCATGGGAAGGGATACCATCGAGCTAGACAAATACCATGCTGGTTGTACTCCATACTATTCAGGCTGGCTGGAGGATAATCATAATGGTCTAGGTCAACCTGGGTTTGTTCGAGGTCACAGAATCATCGATGAAAAGGCTGAAGCACAGGTCAAAATACAATCAACTGCGCAAGAGGATTCGGGAATGCGAAAGCGAGCACCGTGAGATACAAGAAGCCCACCAAAAGCTGATTGAAGAGTGGAAAGACATGGTTGTTAGTGCTAACAAGCGACTGGGATACTTGGAGCAGGGTTTAGTAGAGCTGGAAAGGAAGTTGCTTAGAAGAATCGAGGATTGCCAGAATGCTAAAGGAAATAAGGGCGGACACCTGGCCAGAGCCTACCTGTTGCTGGGACTTCGCGAGCTGGTGAAGCTGTTCGATAGAGCCAAAGATGCCGAGTCTGGGGAAGGTCTTTTTGGGACCAAATATATAGGAGTTTTTCCTTTTTGCTTCGAGAAATATAATAAGGCCTATGGCCATTAGTGACTTTTATTTCCGGTTATTTAGTGTCGATTTGGGATTCGCCTACTATTTATCTATAAAATGAGGCATTTAGCATTCTAAGTTCTCCAAATCAATTTGTCGCTAGGCCTACTTCGGGCATAATGAGGTTCCCCAAATTAGGACACGATTTACATTCTTGCACTATGTGTTTAAATATTGCAACATTGTTTCTTATAATCCTCGCTAACTTGTTACCTTTTTGTTTTATTTTTGTTTTATTCCCCTCCCCAAAGGTTAGTTCGTGCGCTCTAGCATCATCATCCTATTCTACAAGATCCAAGGGCCCTTCACCCACTCCTCCTCTTAGTCCTATCAGAAACAAGAACAAAGGGAAGATGGAAGATTCAAACAACATCAGAAATGAAAAGTCAACTGAACAGATAGAGGTCACTCATGGTACTCAGGTCTCCAAAGAAAGTGCGTCCCAACTCGAGCAGAAACTGTTGAAATTCCAGGAAGAACTTGATCAGGTCCGGACTACCAAATTCTCCTTACTACCAATAATAAAAGAGTTTCACATATGCATTCACATTTCTCTCTCATCATAAAAAAGTGAATATTATTATGAAATAGGTCTGGAAAAGTCATGTCATTAAGGGCGTATTTGGTATAACGGAAAATATTTTTCAATTGTCCCATGTTTGGTTGGTTTAAATATTTTGGAAATTATTTTCTTTATTAACTCATTTTCCTCCAAAATGTTTTCCCTATTAAGAGAAGGGAAAATATTTTTCAAAACTCTTTTTTAACCTTCCCCACTATATTCCCCATCCCCATTAACCCCTACCAACACACCTCCACACCCCCCCTACCCCTCCCTTAGCCTCCACCCCCTCGCCACCCTAAATAGACATATTATATTTACTAACTTTCTTTTCATGTTATCGATAGAATTCCCTTTTTTGCATTTCAACAAATGAGTATTTCCCCTTCATGTTATAAAAAAATATTTTTTTTTGCACTTTAACAAAAAAAAGTACTTTATTTTCGTGATGTAAAAAAATATTTTCTTTCATTTTAACATAATGATGTAGTAAAAAGTATTTGCTTTCGTTTCAACAAAATGATGTAGTTTGTTTTCATGATTTAGAAAAAATATTTTCTTTCATTTCAACAAAATGAGTATTTTTCTTTTCATGATAAAGAAAAAGTATTTTATTTCATTTCAACAAAATGAGTACTTTATTTTCATGTTATAGAAAGAGTACTTTCTTTTTCAACCAAAAAAGAGTACTTTTTTTTAGTTATGGTGTACAAATTTCAATGTTGTTTTTACGTAAAAAGTAAAACAACACATTAGTTACTTTGTGTTTGTGTGATTNAAGGAGGGGGCAGGGAGAGGGAGCGGAGCACAAGAAAAATGGGGACTTGGGTGAAGAGGGAGAGGAAAGTAGAATAAAAAAATTATATTGTACTCTTTAATCAATCGGTAGAAAATATTTTCCGATTTTTTTTTTCAATCACCAATCAAACACTTTTTTTTAGGAATTGCTTATATCCAAAACAACTTTTCACACATATGATTCGATTAAGGTTAGAATAATCAGGAATACTATCTTCTCTTTTTTACCAGAAAAGTAATACGTGATAAAATCAGTAATTTTCCATGAAAATATTTTCTAGGAAAATAAAATATTTCATGAAAATATTTTCTAGGATAATAAAATATTCTCCATGAAAAATATTTTCCTTCATACCAAACACACCCTAAAGAGGAATGACATTAGATAGTTTTCAAATGTAAAAATGTAACAATCCTTTTAATTAATACATAAATAGGAAAGTATGTTGCATAAAATGGAATGACGGGAGTATTAAAATAGACGTTGACGAAACCATTGAACTTAATTACCTCATTAACCAGATCCATAAGACTTGAACCGAAAAATTTGAGGTAACGATAACCTGAAAATGGCGAAACTAGGACCATCATTCCTCCAGGAACAATCTCCTCAGCTCTTGCACTTAAGAATATTTCCATGTCTTTGTCGAACTGCGCAACATAAGCATTAACTACTGCAGTATTTGCGGCATCTACATAGTGAATCAATCCCTTATTCCACGCAGGGGATTTCTCATCTAACAACATTTCTGGCAACTTAGATAACCAATGGATAGCACAAGATGAATGTGCAAAATGGATCGAACCAGAGGGAAATAACCTGCCGTGGAAAGACCCTGGAACTCCTACTGCAAAGTAGGACCTATCGACCGGTAGAGATCGAAATAGGGTATTGAAATCATTGTTGACATGATCATTGAAGAATACTTGGAATTCAGGAATAATATTAGAGGAATCTGCACTGAATTGATAATGGCACTTGTCCTTTACAGCTTCTATAATATGTTGCATAGCTGAGAAAGTGTTTGGTCCAATTGAACATCCCAAGTCTATAATACGGAATGTGTTTATTGAAGCTGATAACAGGCTTTTGATGTCAAGCTTTTCAATAATTGCGTCTCTTACCATCTCCTTTGCACCATCTAACACTTCTCTCTGCAGTTGAAAATTATACATATATAGGCTGACCAATAATTTGCAGCTTTATCATTCATCATTCTTTAATATCTAATCTAGCGTAACTGTCAAAATCGTCTAAAACTCATGTGATCAGTTTGTTTTATGTTTTCCTTGGTAAATAGTAAATAGTCGAATTTCAAGAACCTGATCAAGATCTTAAATTAACCACCAATAGACACCATTGACAACTTTTAATTAGAATAAATTAACTACTCCTATGGCAGGGAGCACAAGCGAGGAGAAGAGGAGAGCGAATAGAGAGAGGCACAAAGTGGCTAGGAAGGAGGCAAAGCTGGCGGTCACGGAGGCTAAGAATACAGCGTTTAGCCGTCTATACGAGGAATTAGGGGAGAAAGGTGGGGACAAAAAATTGTTTCGGCTGCCTTGAACGAGGGAGAGGAAGACCCGGGATCTGGACCAAGTAAGGTGCATCAAAGACGAGGATGATAGAGTATTGATGGGAGAGTCCCAGATTAATCAGAGATGTCAGACGTACTTTTATGGTCTTCTAAATGAGGAGGGGGATCGGGATATAGCGCTAGGGGACTTGGGGCATTCGGAGAGTCTCCGAGATTTTAGGTATTGCAGGCGCATTAAGGTGAAGGAGGTCGTGGGGGCTTTGCGTAAAATGAGTAAGGGTAGAGTGATTGGGCCAGATGAAATTCCGGTTGAGTTTTGAAAGTGTGTGGGTAGAGCAAGATTAGAATGACTGACTGAGTTGTTCAATATAATTTTTAGGACGAAGAGGATGCCGGAGGAATAGAGGTCGAGTACAGTGGTACCGTTGTATAAGAACAAAGGTGATATCCAGTTTTGTAACAATTATAGGGGAATCAAGTTACTTAGCCATACCATGAAAGTGTGGGAGAGGGTGGTGGAGGTGAGGGTGAGGAAGACGACATTTATATCCGATAATCAGTTTGAGTTCATGTCGGGCCGCTCCACTACGGAAGCTATCCACCTTATAAGGAGGTTGGTGGAACAGTACAAGGTTAAGAAGAAGGATCTGCACATGGTGTTTATTGACTTGGAGAAAGCGCATGACAAGGTTCCTAAGGAGGTGCTCTGGAGATGTCTTGAGGCGAAGGGCGTGCCGGTAGCCTACATAAGAGCGATCAAGGACATATATGATGGAGCTAAGACTAAGGTTAGGACTGTGGGAGGCGACTCGAAGCTTTTTCCGGTTGTTATGGGTTTACACCAAGGCTCTACGCTTAGCCCGTTCTTATTTGCCTTGGTGATGGATACTTTGACACACCATATTCAAGGAGAGGTGCCATGGTGTATGTTATTTGCTGATGATATAGTTCTAATTGACAAGACGAGAGCCGGTGTTAACGAGAGATTGGAGGTTTGGAGATAGACTCTCGAGTCTAAGAGTTTCAAGTTGAGCAAGTCTAAGATAGAGTACATGGAGTGCAAGTTTAGCGCTGAGTCAAGGGAAGTAGGCGGGGACATGAGGCTTGGGTCACAGGTCATCCCCAAGAGAGATAGCTTCAAGTACCTTGGGTCGATAATTCAGGGGGATGGAGAGATCGACGAGGACGTCACTCACCGCATAGGGGCGGGCTGGATGAAATGGAGGCTTGCAATCGGAGTCTTGTGTGACAAGAAAGTGCCACCGATACTCAAAGGTAAGTTTTATAGAGCTATGGTTAGACCGGCCATGTTGTATGGGGCAGCGTGTTGGCCTGTTAAGAACTCCCATATCCAGAGGATGAAAGTAACAGAGATGCGGATGCTGAGGTAGATGTGCGGGCACACTAGGATATACAAGATTAGGAATGAAGATACTCGGAAGAAGGTAAGTGTCGCCCCTCTGGATGACAAGATGCTGAAAGAGAGACTCAGATGGTTCGGGCACGTACAGAGGAGAAGCCTTGATGAACCGGTGAGGAGATGTGAGCGGTTGGCCGTGGTAGGTACGAGAAGAGGTAGAGGGAGACCTAAGAAGTGTTGCGGATAGGTGATCAGGCAGGACATGGTACGTCTGCAGATTTTTGAGGACATGACCCTTGATAGGAAGACATGAAGGTCAAACATTAGGGTTGTAGGATAAGGGTAGTTGAGCTTTCCTTACTTCATACCGGGGGTGAGGCGGGGTTGGATTAGGGTTGATCTTAAATGGCTTGCAGTTTATGATGAACCCACACTATTCTTGATGTTTATCTTAGCCCCGGGCCTTAGACTCTGGTTACTGTTATTGGATGTCATTTATCTTTTGGTTCCTATGCTTCTGTTACTATTACGGTTTCTACTGGAGTTACTAATAAATTCTCTTATCTTGTTTTTTTCAATTTCTGTCTTTCTGAGCCGAGGGTCTATCGGAAACAGCCTCTCTGCCCTATCAGGGTGCGTACATATTACCCTCCCCAAACCCCACTATGTGGGATTTTACTGGGTAGTTATTGTTATTGTAACTACTCCTATAGGTTTCAACTCAAAGGTTATTCGAGCCCCAAGTAAATCTCAAATTCAAGCTTATAAATATACAGAAACAACCAAACTTTCCTTTAATAACAGAACAGTAAAATTGCATAGGTAGTTGTCTAACTGTGAAACAGAATACATTCACATCGCATGACAAAAATTTCTTATTAGTGACAAGCTAGTTTAATTTGTTTTAAACACTGGATTCCAGATATTTTGCCTTCAATGTATCTCAGAACATGCAGTTAAGCTAAGATTTGGAATGGTATATGGTGGTGCAAGAAACTTTATACCTGCAATTGGGAGTTTCTGGAGTAGCTGTAGGCACCATCACCAGCACTCATGGGGAAATGTCTTTGCATTTTGTCAAAAGCTTGATACATGATCAGCTTTTCTTTTTCTCTCCCACAGTTGTTGCTCATAGCCTTCTTCCTATATAGTGCCTATAAATGTGGATAGAGTGGGAGGCAATTTTTTTTTTTTTTTTTTGGCAAGGCAAAAACTCCAAGATGACTGCTGCCGATAATTATATAATGAGCTAGCTGGACATGTTTTTGTAGGGTCCATCCTATTTGTCCGAGACACGTTGAAGGAAGTATATAGACATGTGCCTATTTAGTCACTCGGCTGCAAATTAATTAACCCTGGGGACCAAGTATATATAGCTTTTGTGGCGGAGAATATTCAAGGTTTTCTCTTTTTCCTTTAATTTTGCAGCTTGGCGGCCACACCTATCCAAGGGGAACTAAGAGAATAGACCCGATGACTCGTCACTATATATGTGCTGATCCCAGTACCTACGTACTGCTCCGTCTCCGTAGCTTTTTTTGGAGCTCTCTTTTGGACGCTTCCTTTAATTTAACTGTGTCATGTCACTATGTTTATTCAAAATATACTAGGAAGACAACAATGAAGAAAACACAAATAATTTACACGTCCAACTTCACGATCGAATGATTTATTTCCTTATTTGTTTACCGTAAAAATGATAACAACAATTAAATTTGATTAAGGGACTCTAAAAATACGTGATCTATTTTTATGCCGGTTGTTAAACAGTTGATGCTATGTGAAAGACTTAGAAACGAAATAAGAGTTAGGAATAAGGCAATAACCAAACCGATAGACTAACAATCGGGGCCTCGAGGTCAATTCCGATGCTCGGCTGGGAGCTATCGAAGGCAGTCGAAGAATGGCTAACAGTTATAATAAAATCAACGAAGGCTCTTTATGGCCAATGATAAGCAATAAATGATGAACAATAATGAAGATAATAAATGGAAACAATAATATCAAGAGAATGTGTTAGAGAGTAGAGAGAATGTTCTTGTGTATTTAGTATGGAGCAGCCAACCCTTTACGAAATGACAAGGATCCCCTTTGTATAGGAGAGGAGATCCCTATGTAGTACAAAAGCATTAATTACAAAGATACGGGGCAGGTATAGCCACCTGATGCCCAAATACGGGCCAGGACTAGACTCATAGGCTTTGTCGGCCTCAGTTGCGTGCCTAGGGAACTTCCCACTCTCACCATAGCCGTGGTCAATGCTGTCCCAAGGTTGGACGTCGACAAACCTCGAAGGAGAAAATTTGACCGTAGCCTTGTAGTATCGAGCCTTCGAGATGATCTTCTGCGGTGCCTTGATGACGAGGAATTGGACCCTCCGATTTCACCGTATACAGATAGTCCCCGCATTTCTTGGAGAGGAGCGATAAGAAACGATTTTGACATCCAACTATTCAGACTTCCCGTGATGATGTCACATTGATGATATCACGCTTATAACGTAACCCTTCGCTATAACCGGGGCGTACCATGGACTTGTCTTTTCATCATCATTCAATCCGCTGCCGATTCCCATTCTTAAAGCGACAATACCGCTGTCGATTCAGTTTTCAATAACACATTGATTGCGCCTGCCGATCCGTCTTTCAAAGGTGCGTTGTCGGTCATACTATCACCCCCTATAAATGGGGGCTTTCTAGTACTATCTTTTTATCCACGTGCCTTTCAACATCTTTCCATCCCTTTCTTCTCACCATCTTCCTCCATTTATACCCACCATGTTTGGGGCCCACGACCTTAAGGTTACATGGCGGCGTTCTCATCAGCCACGCCATGGACTTTTGTCTGGGCTTTCCCTTGCCGAGCGAGATTATACTTTCTTGTCGTTATTGTTGTTATTATGGTTGTTACTGCTGTCGTTGTTGGCTCGAGGTGATGAGATAGAGGGGTCAACTTCTTCCGGCTTAGGAGGATGTTTGGACTCTACACCGCTGCTCGGGAGAGTGTTCGGACTATATAATGCTACTCACTCTCCTACCCTGGCCTGATGTGGCACTTCATCCCCTTAGCTTCCCAAGGGATGAAATGGCACAACCAGCCGCTAAACTTGCACGACACAATGTCCCAGAAGGCGGACTTGAAGTAGTTGTGCAAGTAGGGTTGGCGCTTGCCGAATCCTCTATTTCTGGCCTCGGCGGGCTATGTCTCTTTTTTCTGCTTCTTTTGCGTCATTTTTCTCTTCTCCATCTTCCCACTTTTCTCTTCTTCATCTTCGCCCTCAGGGATATTATTATGGAGGACCGAGATGAGACCCCATAGGATGTGGCGATCGAAGATATTTCCGCCGAGGATATATGCCCGAGAGATGGTGCTCGAAGATGCTGCCGCTGGGGATGACCCTCGAGAATAGATTAGGCTATTGTCTTTTACTATATGTGTACCTTTTTGCTTCTTTGTTTATGTGTGAGGACCCCTCGTGGGCTTTTGTAATCATATGTTAGGACCTCTCATGGGCTTTTGTAATCGAATGTTTATGAATGAAAAATATTCCTTTAATTTGTCTCTGATGCATACTATTTTCCCTTTATTTATGCTTGTGTAGAATCTAAGTGCATGACCCCGTCGGTTGGTGCAAATGTCGAGCCCGGGTTGGACTGATAAACTCGGATCGTCGGGACCCTGACTTCGTGTCGAATGAGAGTATGGCTTCGAGCCCCTAAATCGAGACTTAGCCTTTAGACCCTGCGATAATCTTCGAGGGGGAATTCGCTCGGAAGCTCTAGAATGGAGACTGCCTTTAAGCTTTTGAGAGCAGTCCCCGAGTGGGGGTTCGTTAAAAATCGGACCACCTGGAAACTTGCTTCGAACTTAGCATAGATAGCCTTAAGGCGTTGTAGATAGATCCCGGACGAGGGTCTACCCGAATTTAGATGGCACCCTGAGACCAAGCCCATATGAGTGGAGTTTAAATGCTTATTTCCTTGGAGCCTAACTCCTTTTTGATGAAAGTCCTCAAGGTCGGGTACCACCTCGAGACTTGTAATGATGTTGTTGGCTTATTGGAACCTAACTTCCTTTTGATGGAGGTCCTCAGGGTTGGGTACCACCTAGGGACTTGCGACGATGCCATTGGCTTCTTGGAGCCTAACTTCTTTTTGATGGAGGTCCTCGAGGTTGGGTACCACCTCGGAACTTGCAGCGGTATGAGGAACTTCATCCCCAAATCATCATGTGGTGCCGCCTAATGCACAATATGGGCAAATTATTTTTATAACTAGGAATAACTGTTACATATTGCTTTATGCCTAGGAAAGCGTGAGGTAATAACTTAAATAAAACCAGAACTGCCTTTGTTTAACCGTCAACCTGATAAAATTAGTAGGAAGCCTGATTCAGACTTCTTTTCTGAGTCATGCAATAAATCTGGTTCTTCTGTTATTACTTAGATACCATGCTTCAGAATTCTGAATTCAGACCTTACCTATATATGAGTCATGCTGTTCATGTGCACTGTATTTGGAGGTATATTTGAGCCTTTCGTTTGTCTTCCATGCTCCCTTTAATTGAAGTCCTACTTGTTAATTATATGTCACCTTAGTGTTTTACCTTTATACTTGAGGGTCTGTCTAGAACTTCCTTTTGTAAGATAGGAGTCCTAAATTCCTCCGGGACTGATAGGAAGGGACGGGTAACAACATGCAATAGGGGTCGAGACCAACCCTTACTTTAGTTACCTTCACGGGGCGGGAAATGGGAGATATGGATATGATGACCAGTGCATTAATGCCACGTGCAGCCCCTCTTTGAGGAGTGTCATACCGGGTATTGCATTGATGTGATCCATATTATAAACAAACCTAGGACCCCCTTCCCTTTTTATGCTTAGATTGTAATTCTTTTCAAAAAGTCTTGCTTTTCATTAATTGTTTCTCAAACACCTGTGTATCAAAACATAAATCCCCTATTATGTGAGCCCTACTTGTCTATTTTCTACTTCCACAAATTCACAAAAAAACTGTCTGGCCGGGAACCACACTAGTGGATCCTGAGGGGTGCCTAACACCTTCCCCTTGGGATAATTTCAATCTCTTACCCTATCTCTGGTTACCAAACGTAGTTGTAAATGAACCCTATAGGTGCGCTCATGCACCTTAAAAGTCATTAGGTGGGAACTCTCCAAAATGCAATCCCCTTTCCCAAAAGGAAAGAGTTGTCCCCAACCAAAATGTCATGAACCTGATTCCGGGGAAGGAAAAAGGGGGCACGACAGCATGGTGACTGTGCTTGGGATATTTAGGCTTTTACCATTTCATACCATTTTTTTGTGAATTTATAGCCCCCCTATGTGCAATTATTTGTTTAATTCCTTTAAGTGTTTAATTTTTTTTTCAAAAGCAAATCTGACATATCTTTCTTGTTTATTTCCTTTATAACTGCTTTAAATTATGAAACTGCTGTATTTATCGCTTTCTTAACGTGCAAATACATGCCAACATGCTTTTAATTATTGCATAATCATTCTCAACATCATACTCCACTCGTGCCAAACAAATACTATAGCAATGCTTGATGAGTGGTTGCGCTCTTCCTATATCATTACCCCCTAAATTCGGAAAGGCGTATTTGCGGTAAAACTAGTCGATCAACGGTGCAGTCGACAGTTCCATGCCTTCCCACCTTGAGTTGCCCGCTCAAGGGTACAGTCTAAAACCCCATAGAAACCTTACTCTGTTTGAATTTTGCATGCATCATGGTCAAACCTAGTCGGGTCAGTTATGTTATCCACATAATGGTCCTTTAAGATAGCCTTGTCCAAAAGTCCACTGGGTTTCCCTAAACCCAAACAGACGTCATCACTTTCTGTGCATTTATTTGGAGAACTAAGTGCTTCATTCTAATTGTTGATATTAAATAGTCAAGTCTGGTGGGGGTATGGGCCTAACCTTGTTTGTCTTGCAAAAAATGAGGCATGAGGTCCCCAGTTTGGGTATGGTTAGCACACCCCCACTCTTGCTAGACTAGTGGAGGAGTCTTCCATCAAATTGCCAAATCAATGAGTGGAAATAGAGGGCCGCCAAAGCTAGCAAAAAGCTGGAATATCTGGAATACAGTCTGCTGGAATTGGAAGGAAAAGTGAGGAAGAGAGTCGCCGACTGCCAGAACACTGAGGGAAAGGAAAGAGAACATTTGG